TAGCCGCCGGGCGCCGGCCGATGAGTAGTCATCGGCCGATTTCTAAATCGACCGGGCGCCGGTGACTTTTCACCGAAGTCTTGATCTAATCGTGAGTATGGTCACATTAGTACAGGCATCGTACGGCGCCCGCAATCAATTGAATCTGAAAGACATCGCACGGGTATCGCAAGGCTATCTGCCGATGGCCGTACGGCACCTGCGAGGACATCGGTCGATCTACAGGCCTCTAGATTTATACTAAATTATTGTATGACCCATTATGACTGTTCCACATGGCGTGAATGCAAGATTTGAAAACGAAATACTTCGATAGACAGGACTTCCAGGATAATAATGTTTTCATGCAATAAAAATCAGAAAAAGAAGATTCTCTTTTGAGTAAATAGGTTCAATATTTAGAAAAAAGCTGACATGGGGTCCGTATTCATAATTTTTCAAATTGTTTGATTGATATTTTTACTATCAGGGGTACTTCAATTGAGAGAAAATTTATTGTTTAAATAAAAACACTGTATTTATGCCCAGAAAGTACTCATGGTGAAAGATATGACCGTATTAAATCACTTGCCATACTGCACGTGGTCTTTTCATCAAAGTGCACCCTGACCTTAATTCATTTTTAGATCTTTCATATAAACAAATACTATGTCTACTCCCTGTCCATCCGATGCTATTAGCAAAATTCCCTATTTCTGCATCTTTCTTTTGTCTGTTCTCGTAAAGAGAATTTGTTTGGTCATAAAAATATGGCCTATCTTCAAAGAAATTGGCAATTTTTTCTTCTATTTCAAGTGGAGTATTACCCTCTTCCCTAGACACATCTAAATATTCATCATCCACCAGCTCACTAGCATTGTTATTGTCTTTTTCCACCTGTCTTCCCAAGGCCTTCCTCATATATGGCCCATTGGCCTTATATATTATTGGTATTAAAATTGTGACCCTTGAAAATACTGTACTCACAAAAACATTCAGAAGATTTTTAAAATAAATGATTTGTAGTATATGCATGGGTGAATATACGCATAAAAATGTATCACTCTATTCAATGTGTATGACAGACATACATGATTAATGTCAGTATAAGAACGACTAGATCAACCCACCCACCCAGCCATTCAAATGTGTGTCATTGTTTTACAGTAAGCCTAATCGTTCCATTTATGTTTTATAAAAAATCTCTGACAGTGTGTAGTAATTATAATTCCTTACCTCATTCTTTTTAAAACCTTTGTATCACTTTATAAGTAATCATTATTAAGATTTATCAAACAAATCAGCACGCAAAATCCCAAGATGACCGTGCGATGCCACCGGGCGCCGTAAGATAATCGTACGATGACCGGGCGGGACACGGCCGGGTAGGTACCGATGAGTTTGGTTGAGAAAAAATCGCCAAGACATCGGCAACTTTTATCTCCGCGATAAAACTCTGCCGGCGCCCGTACGATGTCTAAAAATCGGCCGATGAGTGGCGATCATCGCCCGGCGCCCGTACGATGCCCGGGCTCGCCGGCCGATTTCGAACAAAATACTAATCGGCCGGGCGCCGTAGTGAAAATCGGAGCCTATGTGACCAAGGCATAATACACACATAAATAGAGTACATTATGTTGTACTTGAATAGCCTGGCTTATATAATAATATTGAAGGGCAAGGGCATGCTGATTGTACACACAAGTACATGCATGAAGGCCTAATATTGATATTGCTTGCATACCTAAGTAAAAAATAAACTCTTCTAATCGCCTAATGTAAACACGGCGGTATACGTAGCCCGATTTATCGGGGGCTTTAAAAGCATTACTGACCATTTTAAACATAATAATTTCGCAGATTTATACATCATGATTAAAATAAAATACACAAAAACAAACAGTTATGACGTCATAATTAAGATGCAAATCACCCTATTTGCATATTTTATGAACTGTATGATTGCTTCATCTATTACCTTTCATTTGGTGCAAATTTCATCGAAACCTGAGAAATAATGACGAAGATATGGGCCAAACACTGAAAAGAGCCCCTAAAAGTTGGTGTGGCATATTTACTTTGTTACCATAGTAACGCTGCCGCGGATTCAGAATTGCCAACTTAATATATTTTGATTGCATTATCTATTACCTTCCATTTGGTGTGAATTTCATTGAAATCTGAGCAATAATGAAGGAGATAAGGGCCAAACACTGATAAGAGCCCCTAAAAGTGGGCGTGGCATATTTACTTGGTTACCATAGCAACGCCGTCGCGGATTCAGAATTGCCAACATCATTTTTCTTGGTAAGTATCACATATAGTTCATAAAAATATATATCGCTTAGCTCGCCTCTAAAAAGGACACGGAATTACCTTTGCTCCCATACTAAAAGTTAAGAATTTGTTAACTCCATTGTTCCCTAAATGTAATCATATCCATGGTTACAACAATTGATTTACAAAGTCATAACTTTATGACGTTTCTGTTAATGACCCCCTGGCGAACAACGAACAAGTGCTTTTCCTTTTCATGTAGGCATACTATATTTTATGAAAAGTTATTGACCAAACCTTAGATTGTTCAAGTTGATAAAAAATTAAATCAGTTTGTTTATTTCATGAATTCAAATTTACTGTGAAAATACAGGTTGGTGCAAATTGCTTTCTGGCATTTAATCCTCTCCCTTTAGGTAGATTAATGATTCTACGATATTAGTTTATTGTCATGGAAAAACATTGCATACTTAAACTTGTTCTTGAAAGTTTAAGCTCATTACAATTATATTTATCACGCATTATGGCTATATGAGTTCAACAATAATATGACTTTTGTGTTTCTGACCAACAAATGGCCATTTTTGTTGCTTATTATTAATCATCTTTTATGAAAGATTTATGAGTTCAAATGCATTGGATTGTTATTGAATAGACATATCTAGGAGTGGATCCAATTGCCATAATATCATTCCACATTATTAAGCCATCTGTTTTTTAAACTTTTTTCTCAAATAAATGATTGTTATTAATTACATACTCGCCGCTCACCCATCCTCTATCTTTATTGTTTGATTAAGCTATGAATCTGGCATGTAACATAGTGATTCAATGTTTTACAACAGATAATGCTTCGCATTTGCTTTTAATCCATTTTTGAGTTGACAGTTCGCATTGATTTAGTATGATTAGTTATCAGGAGATAATCCATTGATCTATTGTGGGTCGGGCTCTGTATAAGATTAAGGGTTCAATGTCAATGACACCAGGGACTTAGAAAAATACTTGTTCAGTCCATGCTGACATTAACACTGACACTAGCACCAAGATTTAGCAGATTAAGGATACAATGATAACTCCAGCTATACAGTACAATTCAAATGAATACTGTACTCCTGGTATATTCCGAAGCTATTAAATTTCGCGAACTTTGAAAAAACACAATTTCACTGATTTTGGAAGTTGAAAGGTCTATTCTCTAGATTTGAATGTCTTCTTTTGAATACATGTAGTTATAATTTAATTTGGGTGATATTTCTAGATTTTTCATAAAAAGTATTAGCGCAGTACACTGATGAACTTTTTTTCTCCAAATCGAGACTTGTATTCTACTGAATCGGTCTACTGCACCGTTATCCCTGCTTCGTACAATTGTGATATTTTACATCTTGTAGATTTAGATGTCCTCTTTTGAATATTCATTATTTAATTTGGGTGATATTTCTATATTTTTCATGAAAAGAATTATTAGCCCAGGAGACTGTTCTCCAAACCGAGACTTTCAATATTCCCTCAATCCTCAAAAGAATTGCACAAAAATTAATAGGGAAGGCAGTGACTCAAAATCAAAATGAAGAAACTTTTCTATTTTAATGATACTCATCTACAGTAACCTGTTCCTAGGAGATTTTATCTACCCTGTGTCTCCTGTATATATGTTACATGCCCTTTGTGACTTGTATGTCTATTAACAAGAGATACATTACAACATGCCCTGTATAACCGATATGTGTACAATTGTACATGTACATGTATTTAAGTAGACATAATATACCTTGTATTTCAGTTGGCATAACTTTCCCTGCAGAACTATAGGACTATGTGACTTATACATCTATTTACAAAAGGCATTTGTCTATTTGCATTAGACATAATATGCCCTGGGTGACCTATACATCTATATTTGGCCTAAATGTTCTATCTGTTTCCAGGAGACATAGTTTGTTCTGTGTGACCTATATGTCTATTCGAAGCAGACATAGTATGCCCTATGTGACCTATATATCTCTTTCTCAGGAGACATAATATGCCCTATATAACCTATATATGTATATCTTTCCAGGAGACATAATATGCCTTGTGTAACCTATATATCTCTTTCCAGGAGACATAATATGCCCTGTGTGACCTATATCTCTTTCCAGGAGACATAATATGCCCTGTGTGACCTCTATGTCTCTTTCCAGGAGACATAATATGCCCTGTGTGACCTATATATCTCTTTCCAGGAGACATAATATGCCCTGTGTGACCTATATATCTCTTTCCAGGAGACATAATATGCCCTGTGTGACCTCTATGTCTCTTTCCAGGAGACATAATATGCCCTGTGTGACCTATATATCTCTTTCCAGGAGACATAATATGCCCTGTGTGACCTATATATCTCTTTCCAGGAGACATAATATGCCCTGTGTGACCTATATATCTCTTTCCAGGAGATATAATATGCCTACATGATCTATATATCTCCTTCCAGGAAACATAGTATGCCCTGTATGATCTATATATCTCTTTCCATGCCCTGTGTGACCTATGTATCTCTTTCCATACCCTATGTGACCTTTATATCTCTTTCCAGGAGACATAATATGCCCTGTGTGACCTCTATATCTCTTTCCAGAAGACATAATATGCCCTGTGTGACATATATATCTCTTTCCAGGAGACATAGTATGCCCTGTGTGATCTATATATCTCTTTCCATGCCCTGTGTGACCTATATGTCTATTTATTTCCAGGAGACATTAGATGCCCTATGTGACCTGTATGCCCTACTGAAGGAGGAAGATATGGCTGCTGGTCTGTGGCTGAAAAGGGCAAAGTACACTGAAACAAATACTGCCCTTGCCTATGAACAACATGGATTCTTTGAACAAGCACAGACAAACTTGGAAGCGGTAAGTCTTGTAATATTGAAAATGAGAGGAAATATTATCAAATAGTCATGAACTCTTTCATTATGTAAATTGAGAACTGTTTGTGTATTTCAGGCAATGTCAAAGGCCCCTGCTGAGCATAACTCTTTCATTATGTAAATTGAGAACTGTTTATGTATTTCAGGCAATGTCAAAGGCCTGAGCTGAGCATAACTCTTTCAGTATGTAAATTGAGAGCTGTTTGTGTATTTCAGGCAATGTCAAAGGCCCAAGCTGAGCATAACTCTTTCATTATGTAAATTGAGAACTGTTTGTGTATTTCAGGCAATGTCAAAGGCCCAAGCTGAGCATAACTCTTTCATTATGTAAATTGAACACTGTTTGTGTATTTCAGGCAATGTCAAAGGCCCGAGCTGAGCATAACTCTGGACCAGCATCTCCATCTATAATGCCTGAGTACAAACTGTGGGAGAATCATTGGATAAAGTAAGCTAAATATACTTTAAACCAAAATACATAATAGCGGAATGAAATAGATTACACAATGACCATAATGGATCATAAACTAGTACATAGACAATTGAAATTCAGAAGGATAAATTGATTGTTTTTATTAGGTGTTGCAAGGAGCTTAACCAGTGGGATTTACTCCTGGACTATGCCAATGCCAAGGGGAATACTAACCCCCATCTAGTGCTGGAGAGTGCATGGAGGGTACCAAATTGGGGTCTCATGAAGGAGGCCTTGGCCCAGGTGGGTAATTGTATTTAATTGTTAGAGCTTCAATCTCCAATTCGGATTTTGATTGGTCAGAAAGTGGTCAATGATTATTTGAGTGGGGTTCGATTAAAGCGGATTCCCCTTAAAGTGATTTCATGAATCATCAATTTGAAAAATAGAACAATATATTGAAATCAGTATATAGTAAACACTTGTACATGAAAACCTCTTTCATTGTTTACTGAGAGAGTAATACTTCAATAGTTTACTGTATCACTCTCTTATGTATGGAATCAAATTTATTGTGCAGTGATCTCGCCAGCATTGAAACAAGTGGGCGCAGCGCCCACCTGAGATTTTGAAAACATGCTTGCACCCCCCTGAAAATGCATTTGCACTAACTTGAAAATGAGAAAAATCATGAAAAATAGGCATATTTTGGGTCTGAATTGTGACAATGAGAATTTTGCACCCACTTGAGAAAAAACATGTGGAGACCACTGTTGTGTATTGTATTTTACACATACAGTTTTCAGAGCTTTCCATTTCAGTTGCATTCTTCCAAAAAATTATCTAAAAGCTATGCTTGCTTAAATATTTGAACTATTAAGCACCATATCTACAGGGTTTGATTTATGTATTATAGGTGGAGCTGAGCTGCCCCAAGGAGATGACGTGGAGGGTGAATCTCTACAGGGGTTATATAGCTATCTGTCACCCAGAGGACCATCATCTTAATATGGTAAGAATGCTGCTCATTTATTCTATATCTAAAATGTTAGAATTCCACTTAGTAAATCTGCAGCATCTGCCTGTCATTACAATTTCCTAACTCTACAAAAGTTTACCAAAAAGTAATTGAGATGCATGTATAATTCACTTCATATACTCTAAAATTACTTTTTAAAGTTTCTTTAGTTTCCAATTCAAGAAAATGTTGAGAATAATTATTTAAAGATTCAATTGATTGATCAGTTAAGAACAGAATTGTGATAAGAATTTTACACGCACTTGAAAATATTCTTAGGGAGAACATGTAACACAGAAAGTTTGATAATTGTCTCTTGCAGATTGAGAAGAGGGTTGAATTATCCAGTAACTTAGCCATCAAGGAATGGCGTCGTCTTCCAAGCATTGTCTCCCATATACATGTTCCTTTATTACAGGTAAGTTAATAAGCAATTTTTAATTTTTTTTCTTTTATATACCTCAACATTTCAAAAGATATTCTAACCATCTATGTCATTCTGTTAGTTAGTATTCATTGTCACAGACTGTATTTACTTATTTTAGATGTTTCCAATCCATAATCACTAAATATTTTAAAATCAATAACATAAGTATTGTTTATTTTAAAATATTTAGTGATCATGGATGGAGCATGTATTCGAAATGTCTAAAATAAAAATGAATACAGTCTTGTGACAATGAATACTAAAAAAAACAGAATTAAAATTACCAGACTATGAACTTTTCTAATGTCATCTATGTCAATGTTGTCAATCTTCTGATGAGAGTTTTAAAATCAGAAATATGTGTGTTTAGTAACAATTTAGTCTTTTCCCATTGGTAATTGTGTATCCATATTTGTATTTTAATTAGGCTGCTCAGCAGATTATGGAACTGCAAGAGGCTGCCCAGATTAACCAAGGCCTCCAACCAGCTAACATTGGTCGCCAATCAAGTCTACATGACATGAAAGCCATCGTGAAAACCTGGAGAAATCGTCTGCCAATGATCAGTGATGATTTATCACACTGGAGCGACATCTTTACATGGAGGCAACATCATTATCAATTCATTGTTAACCACTATGACTCACATTCTCAGCATGACCCTGTAAGTATTGATTCATAGAGGCAACATCATTATCAATTCATTGTTAACCACTTGACTCACATTCTCAGCATGACCCTGTAAATATTGATTCATATAGGTAACATCATTATCATTTCATTGTTAACCACTATGACTCACATTCTCAGCATGACCCTGTAAGTATTGATTCATAGAGGCAACATCATTATCATTTCATTGTTAACCACTATGACTCACATTCTCAGCATGACCCTGTAAGTATTGATTCATAGAGGCAACATCATTATCAGTTCATTGTTAACCACTTGACTCACATTCTCAGCATGACCCTGTAAGTATTGATTCATAGAGGCAACATCATTATCAGTTCATTGTTAACCACTTGACTCACATTCTCAGCATGACCCTGTAAGTATTGATTCATAGAGGCAACATCATTATCATTTCATTGTTAACCACTATGACTCACATTCTCAGCATGACCCTGTAAGTATTGATTCATAGAGGCAACATCATTATCAATTCATTGTTAACCACTTGACTCACATTCCCAGCATGACCCTGTAAGTATTGATTCATAGAGGCAACATCATTATCATTTCATTGTTAACCACTATGACTCACATTCTCAGCATGACCCTGTAAGTATTGATTCATAGAGGCAACATCATTATCAGTTCATTGTTAACCACTTGACTCACATTCTCAGCATGACCCTCTAAGTATTGATTCATAGAGGCAACATCATTATCAATTCATTGTTAACCACTTGACTCACATTCTCAGCATGACCCTGTAAGTATTGATTCATAGAGGCAACATCATTATCATTTCATTGTTAACCACTATGACTCACATTCTCAGCATGACCCTGTAAGTATTGATTCATAGAGGCAACATCATTATCAGTTCATTGTTAACCACTTGACTCACATTCTCAGCATGACCCTGTAAGTATTGATTCATAGAGGCAACATCATTATCATTTCATTGTTAACCACTATGACTCACATTCTCAGCATGACCCTGTAAGTATTGATTCATAGAGGCAACATCATTATCAGTTCATTGTTAACCACTTGACTCACATTCTCAGCATGACCCTGTAAGTATTGATTCATAGAGGCAACATCATTATCATTTCATTGTTAACCACTATGACTCACATTCTCAGCACGACCATGTAAGTATAGATTTCAAAATATAGATAGATATTGGGTCGATTAAAAACAATGATATTTTTTCAAAGTACATGTAATGTTAACCTCTCATTCTAAAATCCAAAAATGTATGTTGAGCAGCATTTTGAAGATAAACTGATCTTATAATTAATTGTATAGATTTATTGTATCTTATAATTAATTGTATAGATTAATTGTATCTTATAATTAATTGTATGGATTAATTGTATATTATAACATGCACTATATGCTTTGTAACCAACACCCACCCTATCATTGAATAAATTCAGGCAATAATCACAAAAATGTATTTCCTATTGTAGAACACTAACCACTCAATGCTAGGTGTACATGCATCAGCCCAAGCCATTATTCACTATGGGAAGATAGCCAGAAAACACCACCTTACTGGTGTCTGCCTGGATTCACTTAGTCGTATACATACTATACCTAGTGTACCCATAGTAGACTGTTTCCAGAAGATAAGACAACAGGTATGGGATATATGAGTTATCCTAGGGGAGGGGGGTAATACAGAAAGGGAATAATTCAGTGATTCTGTTTTTGAATTATAGTGGGTTGATGTGTATTTAATGGCTGTTTTATGACTTTTAGTTAAGCAGTTACAAACTGTCAAGGTGTACACAAATACTGTCTTCACCTTTTCAAAGAAGTTTCCGACTTGAAGAGTAGATGAGAGGGATTTGGTAAATCATTATGATTGCCAAGAACCGTTTGAAAAAAAGGTCTTCAACACCCAAAAATACCAAAATCTAAATAGTCCATTTGACATTTTGGGAAATAGTATAAAATGCTCTTGTATATATTAATACCTTATACATATAAATCAATTCTCTTCCAGGTGAAGTGTTACCTGCAGATGTCTGGAGTGTTTGGTAAGAATGAACTCCAGGAGGGTCTGGAGGTGATAGAGTCCACCAATCTGAAATATTTTACCAAGGAGATGACTGCAGAATTCTATGCACTCAAAGGAATGTTCCTCGCTCAGATTGGAAGGTATGTTTCTTGGATAAAAGTTATTTTTAATGATTAAGTGTACATGATTTTTCTCTAAGATTTGAATACAGACATTTTGTCATCTTAATGCCTTTTTCGAATTTATATGATTTAGTGTATTAACGACATCGTTCACTTCTGTCTCCCGTTATGGTTTCACTTTTCCATTTTAAATCATGACCACCATATCTTAGAAAACACAAAATGAACATGAATTTTATTGTATGTTATAGGTCTGAAGATGCCAACAAGGCATTCTCAGCTGCCGTTCAGATGCATGACGTCCTTGTGAAAGCCTGGGCACTTTGGGGTGACTACCTAGAGTCAATATTTGTTCATGAAAAAAGCATCCATCTTGGAGTGTCGGCCATTACATGTTATTTGCATGCGTGCAGACACCAGAATGAGAGCAAGTCTCGAAAGTATCTCGCGAAAGTTCTTTGGTTGTTGACCTATGATAACGAAGAGTCAACCCTGGCAGAGGCTGTTGATAAATACTGTATAGGAGTGCCTCCAATACAATGGTTGCCATGGTGAGTACTATAATGTAAAAGTTGCCATGGTGATGTATTCTGTTATTATGTATTTAAATCGGGTTTCCCACTTGCATTTACAGTACATGTATTATGCTATATCATGTATTGGGAAAATATTGAAAATTATAAATGAAACATTTCTTTATCAGATTTTGTATAATTTGAGCTACTTTGTTTTGTATGCAAACACAAGATAGTTGAGATAAATATCTTAGAAACTGCCTTTGAATATTTCTAGGATTCCTCAACTTCTGACATGTTTGGTTCGTAACGAGGGTCGCCTCATTCTGAACCTACTCAGTCAGGTGGGTCGTATGTATCCCCAGGCTGTCTACTTCCCCATACGCACACTGTACCTCACCCTGAAGATAGAGCAAAGGGAGAGATGTGAGTAAATACATCAACATGTATTTCATCTATTTAGAATTTATCAATAGAAAGTCTACTGTTAAAGATAGTTGATGGTACTGTTTTGTGAAAGCAGAATAATTTTACCTTTTTCGTTTTTGTATGAACATTTTGTTTTGTAAATATCAATATCAATAAAACAGTTCACACATATCTGGAACTTCCAGAGCTTGGGAAAGAGGATTCAAAAAGAAAACTATTTGTAGCTCATGTACAGTATTTAACATTCATGCTTTGTTTGTGTAGATCTGTCGGATAAGAGTGGAGAATTGGCTGCCACTAGGAGTAGTAGCCCCACCCCACCTACCAGCAGCGCCACCCCTGGGCCCACTGAGACTGCTACAGATATGGTGGGGGTAGAGTCTGTCACAGGTCCTCCTCCTACCCCGTCATCTGCCACACCCACCTCAACTCCTGCAACATTAGGTGTGTTAAGTTTTCACTTATATTGACAGTTTATAGCGAGTAAAGATTAATGATGCCACTTTATACATTTTTGGATAGAATGTGCACCTCTTTGACAGTCAATAGAGTATATACTTTTTTATCATGAAAAATACAAATAATTTAGGGTCTCCCAATCGCCAAGCATCATAGGTCAACCTTTGTTTGAAATGTCCATGCTGCTTCATTTACATTTAAAAAATCACATGCTATGATTGTTGTTGCTTATGTATTGTAGACCTGGGACAGAGTAGTGCCAGTGCTTCTATGTCTGGTAGTAATATGCCAGGCCAAAGTATGGCTGGCACTTCTGAAACTGGACCCATCAAAGCCACTGCTCCTATGTGGAGATGTAGCCGCATCATGCACATGCAGCGAGACCTCCATCCCACAATTCTTTCCTCACTAGAGGGCATTGTTGATCAGGTATGGTTTCATGTTTTAATAAATGTTATTAAGGGGGTCATTAAATGAAACTTTGTAAAGTTAAGAATTTGTAAATCAATGGTTGTAATCATGGATATAATGACGTCACTATTAGAGAACAATGGACCTTACAAACTCTTTGTGAAGTTTCTGTAAACGGCCCCCTGATCCACAATGCATGTTTCATGTACTGTACATATAAAGGGAGGGAATGTTAATGGGTTTTATGAGAGGTGACATATTTTGTACATAAGGTACTTGCAATTACGAGAGATGTGGGAATCAATTCTTTATATATTGGGATGAATGAATTTAAATTAAATTGATCATCGCAGCATGGTTCATTAATCCAATTTCATATTAATTGTGGGATAAACATAATTTAAAAGCGAGGAATGTTACGTTTTAGATGGTCTGGTTCAGGGAAAACTGGTACGAAGAGGTCCTGCGGCAGCTCCGTCAAGGTCTCACTAAATGTTGTGCTGTTGCATTTGAAAACCGAGGGGCTGTGACGGAAGCCACAATTACCCCACATACGCTAAACTTCGTCAAGAAGCTGGTCAGCACATTCGGCGTTGGCATTGAGAATGTATCTAGTGTGACTACGACATTCTCAAGTGCAGCGTCTGAATCATTGGCTCGACGTGCTCAGGCTACGGCCCAAGATCCAGTGTTTCAGCGAATGAAGAGCCAATTTACGACAGACTTTGATTTCAGGTATGCAAAAGAATGGAATGCAAATTCATTTCATATTTGAAGCTTTGACTAAAGGAGAATTACAGTATTTAATTGTAGATGTTCAAACTCATTCTAATATTTAATATATTGAATGTTGTCTTACATGTACTCAGCATGTGTAACTATTCATAGTGAGCCAAAGCAATAAATATGAATATTTCTGGACAATGTTTCAATGTTTTTACCATTTCTCATAACTGGATACAGGAATTCTTCGGATTTACATGTTCTTTTATAATTTCTTTCTTATAAACTAACGATTTTATTTCATCACTTACATGTACATGTATGTAAATGATAGCTCACAAATCACTTCAATGGAATAGGCAGTTTTGAACATATAATGTTTTGGTACAAGATTACATGTATTTAGAAGGTTAAAAATTTATATTGTACCTATAACTGAATCAAAGAAAAGAATATTGGGAAATATAGAGTCGAAAATAAGTAGAAGCTGATTTTACGTTACCTAATCTGTTTTTTTTATTTAGTGTCGCGGGATCTACGAGACTTCACAATCTCATCAACAAACTGAAGAAATGGATTAAAATCTTGGAGGCAAAGACTAAACTTCTACCTAAATGGTTCCTTATTGAGGAGAAATGTCGCTTCCTCAGTAACTTCTCTCTCAGCACAGCAGAGGTTGAGCTGCCTGGGGAGTTCCTGCTTCCCAAAGTATGTTTATTTTTATTGCACTTTAAAAAAGTGCTATATTGTTTGTCTCTTATGGGTACCACAATCAGATCTAGGGGCACTGGGGTACCACTGTCAGATCTATTAATATCTATAATGCACAATATCACATTCAATCAATGATACAATTTGAAATGAAAATGTTTCCATTTTAAAAATTTGATATTGTTCTAGACTAAGCAGAACACTACTGTAGCTAGGATGAAATATTGTCAACTCCACATTGTTTATTTAAAGCCTGGATAACTAACTATATTATTTATGTTTATCTTGCAGCATAGCCATTACTATGTTAAGATTGCACGTTTCATGCCACGGGTCGAGATCGTCCAGAAGCACAATACAGCAGCACGTCGGCTCTACATCAGAGGGCATAATGGTAACATATACCCATATTTGGTCGTAAATGATGCATGTTTGACGGAGTCACGTCGTGAAGAACGGGTGCTGCAATTATTGAGGATGGCGAACTTGTTCCTTGGGAAGCAGAAGGAAACGTGTAGGAGACTGTTACATTTCACAGTTCCTCGCGTGATTGCCGTGTCACCGCAGATGAGATTAGTGGAAGATAATCCTGCCTCTGTATCTTTACTAGATGTATATAAACAGGTGAATACAGCATTTTTGGATATTTTCCACCAGCCTTTGAGTTTACTTACTATCAAATAATCATTTGTACTTTTAAACATATCATCATGAATCCAAGCATTGTTTTAATGACTCAATGGAAATACAATCTTCCTGGCCTGTACTTTCTTTATATCTTCTATTTCATTATTATGGAACTACATTTTCAGCGCTGTATGAAACGAGATATAGAGCATGATGCACCAATAGCTAGGTACTATGAGAGGCTAGCGACAGTGCAGGCCAGGGGGTCTCAAGCCAGTCACCAGGTGCTTAGGGACATCCTCAAGGAGTTTCAGACTAACATGGTCCCCAGGGGCCTTATGAAAGAATGGGCCTGCCATGCTTTCCCAAATGCGACTGATTATTGGACATTTAGAAAAACTGTGAGTATATTGTCAGATTGTGCTCAAAGTAACACTAGTCAATAAGAATCACAATAATTTATACAATTGATAATTGTAACTTGTCAATTTCATTATTATTATATGTATGTTAATTTGATTGATATAATGATACTGTTTTATTGAACTGCAAGCTATCATTGTTGATACCAACTACCCTTGTGAGATTTTATAATAAATAAACCAGTTTAAACCCAGTTAATTAACATGTGAAGCACTCCCTTTTAGTTCACGATCCAGTTAGCGTTATCTGGGTTTGCAGAGTTTGTACTGCACTTGTCCCGTATGAACCCAGACATGATGTATTTACACCAAGACTGTGGATATCTCAATGTGGCATACTTCAAGTTTGACATTGATGACCAATCAGGTATGTACAGACTGGGCCAAAAAGTCTCTCTCAATTGCTAAATTAATACCTAAACAATGCATGTCTTCATCATTTAAGTTTAATTTATAATGGAATTAGGAGAAAAACCATTTTTCTAAAAGTGTTGTTCAAGCACTTCAAAAAGAATTTGTCTTTGGTACACCCTGGATGCTTGCTTAGAAAATGATGGTCACTCATTCTCTATTTGGGCTAATAAACTGTAGAAATGTCCATCATCTTCCCTTAACCTACCAGAGATGTCAAAACTGTCAAACAAGTACAAAAACAAATGAGATTTATTTTGATATTACTTACATCAAATTCCTATTATAAGCGCATTCAAATGAATTCCTTTATTTTAGGAGAGCTTGATGCCAACAGACCCGTGCCATTTCGGTTGACGCCAAACATCGCTGACTTCCTTACAAGTACAGGTGTCTCAGGACCACTTACTGCTTCAATGATCTCCGCTGCCAGGTGTCTCGTACAGCCACAATATAAACTAACTAGTCTGCTTCGGGCCATACTCAGGGATGAGTACATTACATGGCATAAAAAGGTAAATAAATAAGTTATATCCCATGTCAGGTTCTGGATATTGAGATTAGCCCATGGCTAATATACCAATACGTAAATCTACAGCTGTTGAAAATACATTGTACAAACCTGTTATATGAATTATCAGACAAGACTACAGTGTTAACTTGATCCCAGTGATAGTACAGTGTATAAAGCAAATAAAAACACCAGAGACTATAAAAAGGTGGCATTATAGCAAATATTATTATATTTGAAAATAAAATCTCAACTGAACAACAGTAAAGATCATCTCTTCTCCACAGCTGTTTATGTTTTTGTCACTAGGTTAAATTCACAAAAATATTTTTATGAGAGTTTATTGTATAGCCATTGTGTATAGCCATCTTATGCGAGGCCACTAGTACTGTGTTGTTCATTTTACTTGAGGGTATTGTGTTTTGCAACTGAGGATATTGTGTATTATACCTGAGTGTATTGTGTATTGTAACTGATGATTTTGTGCATGGTACTAGTACATGAAGTATTGTGTGTATTGCAACTGAGGATATTGTGTATTATACCTGAGTGTATTGTGTATTGTAGAAGCATGATGAAACCAACCCTGGCTCACAGCCTGTGGACATGGAGGGAGAGACTCTCATAGCCATGGTCAACAAAGCTGTTTCTGCAATCTCAACAAGACTACAAAGTAAGTCTGCTGCTGTATTTTGTATAAATGATTGTTTCGAGTTTCACAATTAAATTTCATGAAATAGACAACCCATCTAACAAAACCGATTTTGGATTTAAACGGGTTAATTTTTTTATTTTATTATTTTAATTGTTCCAGAAAATATCTTTGTACCACTCACAACAAAAAGGATTATGATTCAGAATTTAATGTTAAACATTTGAGACAGTGCTTATAAATAAAGCCAGAGAGCCAATGAATTTCTTGTAACAATCATTGTCTTTCTAAACCGGCGTATAGATAGCGTTCCAAGATAATATACTCAATCACATGGCTTATTAACCAATCCTGTAGCAATATTTATGTGTTGTTAAGTTAATATCTGCCATTTTGTATTGTTTATGCCTGTGATAAACTTTGCGATTTATTTTTGTGGTGTGTCAATTCTGAAGAATTTGATCAAAAACTGTATTTATTTATGAAAATAAATTGCAATAAAAAGTTGGATTAATGAGTTGAATCTAGGAAACTGTCAGCTTTATTTCATACTTTATAAGCTTCAGCGACCTCCAGATTTTATCAATACTACTAAGTTACTGCATTTTCCACGTGGTTGGCAATCCTATTTCGTTTAGTCTGGATCGCAAATGACTATTGGCTGGACATATTGGGACGTTTCTATCAATCCTTTGGCTATTGATTGAATCCAGTATGATACTCAAAGCAGTATTTTTCCTCCTTTAGGTTGATGAAAGTTTGTATTTGGTGGCGATTCTAGGAATTATCTCAGTTGTTTTATTACAAGAGACACTAGAATGGTTTTAGTTTTACGCTCTAGATATGACCCCGGAATTGTGTGTCCATAAATGACTTTAAGTGACTGACGGGTTCATTACTAAATAACTCATTTATCCATTCCTTTTTCCTGGAGATTTCATTTATTAAAGCCCCATTAAATCGTGCCATTTAATCTGGTAAAAGCTTTCCCATTTATCCCTGTTGAAATTTATTTCATATATTCTTTGCTAAATCAAGGTTTAATTACTTAAAGTTGGTGAAAATGTCTTCCTAAATTACTTAATAACAATCTAGTTGTTGGATGATTGTACAAAGGAGCGTGACAAGTCAGATATCATAACATGTTGCTCTGTTTTCACTGATTTTGCCCCATTCTAATTTTCACATTTTTAGAAAATTGTGACGGTAGTCATGTTAAGAAAAATCACTGTTCTTTCCAAGATTTTTCTCGAAAGTGACCCTAGCTATAATACCCTATACCAGGGCATAATAAGCTGTCCAATAGCAGGACAATGACCCTTGCTATAAAATTTAAAAGAATATGCATCAGTAGCTAGGTCGAGAATGGGAAATAAATTCTTCAGATCTCGACCTTGGTAGATAAATCATTTACATCCCCCTGTTGTCTCCATAAAACATTACTTAGTAATGAATAAAGCAATAGATACTATTATTCAAAAAGTTGGTCAAAATATGCAATGATTTTTCTCATTGTCATCTGGGTGCAAACCCTCTTTTCAAAAGGTGCAATACCCTCTTTTCAAAGGGTGCAATGCCCACTTGCTTCAATTCTAAAAAACTGAGTAGTGACGATAGTAAAGTATAAGATTCAGAGTATTTCTGAAGAATAATGCCTAATAAGTAGGATATTAGACAAGGATGTGTCACTTTAAAAATACAGACAGAAATTGATTTGAAGCTGGCTCGATGGTGACATTTTAAATGTTCTTTTCACATGCAATACCATGTGATCGAGTAAAATAAATTGAACTTTAAATTGATATATGATCCATCTGTTTTAATCATGTCTTGATATACAGGCCTGTCTGACTTGTCTGGGTTCTTTAGAACTTTTTCATCTATTTGCCATTCAAGCTTGACGTTTCATATAAAAATATTTAGACCCACTCAGTGGTGAATTTAAGCTTAAGTAGCGATTTTATGGATATCAACTTCCACTGAATGATCGGTTAAAGAGTGTTTTGGGAAACATTTCATATTCGGATTCTTCTAAAATAGACTTACGCATTGCCTTAAAAATGATATGTGATTGCATAAAACATGTCATTGCCTTTATTGATATATTATCACTTATGACAAATCGTGACTCCTAAGCCAAATGCATTTAACTTCTGATCATATAGACACTTTGTTAGCGTGCTGACTGTGATGTCCCTTAATGTGTTTTAACCCTTTGATATTATCACATATACGAGAATTTTAACATTAATCTAACCCGAAGTTTCATACAACATTGTCATTCCTTGGCCCTTTGAATCCTATCTCAATACTATATTCTAATATACTAATATATAGCACTCCTTCCAAAATAGTATACAGAATTTGATTGATCTCTAAGGCCAATTCTTGAACTTTTAAGATTATAACAAAGTGTATGTTACATTTTCTATGTTACTCTAAGGATTTTGAATTTCACAAAGTGGTAAAATATTTCATACTAAGTCATGGTTAATCTGGATTTATTACTAAAAAGTGAATTTATGAGGTTTACATCTTAGATATTAGCCTTTTAAAATAAAGATTACACAAATTGCACATCACATGGTGACATATTGGTGTAGCTACCATTTTTGTGATCAGCATTTGTCACCTGTAACAAATGGTTACATTTTTGTAATTGCAACCAGGATGTGGCATTTTGTCATGGTTACGTTTTTTTATGTTATCTTTTATCTCCTGTTTTGGTGCAAGTTGATTTTCTTATTGCAAATTTTTTGTAGCCAGAATATGGAAATTCATTTTGGTGGCCATTAGTCTGTAGAAACACAACATATAGAATTTGAAAATGTGAATCTCAATAAGAAGAAGTGAAATATAAGTAGATGTTTTGGGATAAAAAACACCAGTAATATTAATTCAATTTATTCCATAATTATTTCAAAAAATTTAAATATGTAATTCATAAAGTTTATATAGACATATTGATGGTACAAATATTATTCTGCTCTAAAGTAAACTCTGGGGCAATAGCTTTGAAAGTTTGAACCTTGAAACGTTCAACACCGAGCTTTCAATCTTGAAGCAATCTACCATTTAACTTTGAAAAATGCTGTGTTTAATCATTTAACCTTCTAACATCAAAGCATTCAACCCTGAACACATTCTACCCTGAAGCGTTTAACCTTGAAACTTTCAGCTTTGAAAAATTCACCATAAATCAAGTATGGTAAAAGATAAGTTCTACAAAGATGTTAACCTCATATAACGTGACTTCTATGAAACATCCATCTGAATGCCAATAATATAATGCCCTCCAATTCTAAGAACCAATGTAACAAGAATGTGTCTCTGATTTTGTTCAATCATTGTGTTGTAAAAAATGGTGTTCACTTGAACGAATCTAATGGGCTTTTAGGTATAACCCAATGAACATCCATCTATCACTGTCTATTTACTTAAGTGCAGGAAATGTCATATTTCCAGTAAGTCAACATTATGGATAGACTTGTTATGCAAGTTTATATTGACCTTGTTGCTAACAGGGTCTACAAGGGGCAGATCTAAGAATGTCTAGGTGATGGGGCTCAAAGTAAAAATATTAAAGAACTCCCTGCCCAAAGTGCAAACCTTTTTGGATCCCCTACCTTGACTGCAAAGTCTCTCCCCAGATCAAGAAACCAGGATTTTAGAAGTTGCTAGGAGGATCCAAATTGGCATTGGAATTTAGGAAATATTGGTTACCATGCCAGTGGATTAAGGACTTACATTTGGATAGGTTTTCGCTGGACATTTTGTCATGTAAAAGCTTTATTTCAAATATGTTACATATACCTTGAACTTTGATACCCTCACTCATGAAAAATTGTCTCGAAAAGTTGAATGTCAGTTGTCGATTTTGCTTTTAAAAGAAAGTTTCATCTACACTCTTGGGAGTTAGAAATAATCCTTTGATTTGAATTTAGCCAATTAATACTGAATATGCAATCGGTAAAAATGTGGCGATCCAATCAAAATCATCTTGCTTCATCAAGCTTTGGACCTGTCAAGTACTGATTTTACATGTGAATCGATGATGATCAAAATTGCACTCACTGAATTTTATGATTTCATAATAGGTCCTGGCATTCATTTCATAATAAAACTACTTTTGGAGTCATTTAGATCACATCAGCATTAAATCTGTTTATTTATCTCTTCTATTCAGAGTCTATTGCAGCTCTTACACTCAAGGTGAACAAAACATGTCATCTTATATGTCATGTCTAAGATCATCATGTCATGTTATGTAATTAAATTGCCTTTACGTCAAAGAGCCTGTGTAATACCTCAGAACAAGGAAATTGACAAGAGAAAACACTAACCATATCAGGAAACAAACTAAAAGTGTTTTTGTAACATATTTAGGCTAAAAGCATATTTATTCTGTGTCACATTGAAGATCTCGCAAAATCGGAAAAACAGAATTGTAATTCAGTAAACGAGGTGTAAGTAGAAATAATCTTGATCATTAAATTTTCAAAATCAAGTCGAATTGTTGTCATGTTGTAAATCTTCATATAAAATTACATCTGTAAATGTGATTTTTATAATTGTTTATCAACTTCGAAAATTAGTTTTTTGGAAATTTAATTTCTAGGTCAAGTAGATTCTCCATAGTAAAGGCCCATTTTATAGAATCAAGAAAAGTGAAATATATTTTGTTTTACAATCCAGAATCATATTTCTTTTCACTGAGTACATTTTTCCTTAACTATGTTTATCTTAAAACTTAAAAAGTTTTGATGAAAATTCTTCTATTCAAGTCTGGAGGATTTTTTTGTTTATATTTTTGATTTTCCGATTCATTAGTTAACATACTGGCAACTGTTTTTATCGATACTGTGTATATGTCTTTTATTGACTCTCTGATGTCATTACAATGACATATTAGTCTCTTCAAAATACAATATACAAAATTGAAATAAGATTAATACATAAACTAACTACTGAAGATAAAAATACTGAGTAGTTGTAGCTATGTCAGCCATCTAGTGATGAAACTAGTAAATAGCTTCTTGCAACAGGGAAACCTTAGCGGCTAACGCCCAGGCTAACGACTTTGCTGAAATAGATATTACCATGGACTTGATTTTCTTCAAGTTGTGATACATCAATTTTCTTATGATCTTGATAAACTCACACAGATGAACCAATTATTTATGGACATTCAAAACGAGTTTGGATCCTTGTACTGATATATGTATTCATATGGGGTGAATGACCATGAGGTCACCCATGATATATGATATATAAATCAAGATACAGAGACTTTGTCAAAAATTTCATTAAAGGAGATGTTATCTGGGTTCATTAATCAGCAGACTCTAAGACAGTGATCCACTCCTACATGTATTGATTGGGCTATCTGAAAATGAGATGCATTGTTTATTGTTAGTACCTCAGTTGAAATACTCGATTTTGATTGGTCAACGAGCGGTGAATAATTTTAACTGTACACCGCGCAATGCATTGCCGGTGAATAATATTCCCAGCATTCCACTAAAATGACGTCATTATCAGACGATAAAATGGCCGCCGCTAGCACTAGCCGTTTCAAAAAAGTTGAAGATGAAGATATTATTAGTCTCTTAGAGAGTAAAGACAGTCAAAATACGAAGAAAAATCTAAAACTTTGTACAAAGCTTTTAGTGGACTTCGCCCAGGAGAGTAATTTGACTCCATTGAGTGAACTTACTGCCGTGGCAGATGTTTGCCATGAACGTCTCGAGGGTCTGGATCCAACTTCAAGTCAACTTCAAGGGTCAGAAAAATCTAAGATATTCTTCGGACTAACAAAACAATTATAGACCTCTCCATTCGGTTTACTGTCAAAATTATATCCCTCGACTGTAAACCTCGACCTACGGTCTCGGTTTACAGTCTCGGGATATAATTTTGACAGTAAACCTCTGGAGAGGTCAATAATTGTATATTATTAAAGTATTCCATTGTTGATCTTGGAGATTATTTTACAGGATAAAGATTATTAGATTTTCTCAAAGGTTAATCAAGCATACGTATATCTGAAATATTTTCTGGATGTCCATCTTCCAACAAAAACACTTGGTCCAAAGAGAACCTTACAGAAATAATTTTACTAAATTGCTCTACACCAGGCAACGAAGTAACGACTATGAATAATGGCTGCCAATCACTCTTGGATAAGGTTATAAAATTTGGCAGTCGATGACATCACATCCTGTGTGAAATCTGAAAAAATGGCAGCTTTACCAATGTTAACTGAAAATGAGCACTACATTTCTAAATGATCAATATTGACCTTATCAAAACCTTATTCTGTCTTTTGCTTAGTATGGAAAGTATATACTATACAGTAGTTATTTACCAGGAGGGATTTGATATGGGGAATATCACAAGGATGATATCAATATTTCACTTTATATCAATATCGTCCGAGGGATATTACCCATATCATCCCGACGGGTGAATACCAACCTTATACCATGATCAAGAGCAAAAATGATTATTTTGAAAAAGTGAAAATTAGTTATTGCTACCAAATAATGAGAGAAATGATCTTGCCAGGAATATCACTTTAATAATGAGCTATAAATTGTGGGCTTGATATGGAAAAGTATAAAATTGTTCTTATCAACAAAGGTGGTTTAATCATAATATGGAAAACACAATAAATGCATTCTTATTAGGACGACTCCTTGCGATAATATTTTTCTTAATGTCTTTATTTTGTTTTTTTATTATTTCTTAGTAATGAAGTACATTTTTGTTTTCATTCAATATATAACATGCAATCCAGTGATTGATATCATAGAAACTAAATAGCTTTAATGGAAGAACAAAACTACTTAGTTGATTTAAAAGTCTGGTTAAAGGTCACTCCTAAGTTATAGCAATTTTGTGACTTTGTGATGCCACAATCATAAACCCAATGGTTTAATATCTTGGATTTTCCGATTCATTGGTTAACATACTTGCAACTGTTTTATCGATACTGTGTACGTAGGCCCGTAGCCAGGATTTGCCAAGGGGAGGTTAAGTCTCAAAAATTTCCAGGGGGGTTCACATTTGACAATTTTGGCCCAAATATGGCTAAAATCACTTGTGAAAACTGCATGATTTTGAAAAAAATTTTGGCCAGGAGGGGTTCGTCCGAACTCTGCGAATCCCCCTTGCTACGGGCCTGCTGTGTTCACAAAAATGATTATGACCACATATTATACATATAGTGAACTTTTGCATTACATCTATAGTTAGTCACATTTGAAAGATTCATTATGCTATAACATTAACCAAGTGCAGCTATCAGTTTTATATTGAGATGAGAAATCATTTCCGAAGTTGACATTTTACATTTGGGAATATCACTTTGAAACGTACTCCATAATTTGTGGACCAAATATTGGTATGTAGATTAGACGTCCTGTCCCAGGGGGTATTTTTCATACCACCGGGTCCTTTTCGTCTGTATTTCATTTAAAATTCAAGTTGTTGAGAACTGTTGAGATTGCTGTTTGAATTTCTATATGATGACTAACATTTGCGACTGAATGTAATCACTAAATCATTGCCACATAACTGTATAAGTGGTAATTTTGCCTAATCATTATTTGACTATTGCCTAATTTTTTGCCAGATTTGTAAAATTAAAGATCTGAAAATATAACCTTCATAGTGTTATCCAATGGGAAGTAATGAGTGTTATATTCGCTTTCACTGAAAATGTGTGAATAAACGTGATTATTTCCTTTTCGATGTAATAATAATGGCATCAAATGTTATTAAGTGATTTCTCATCGGAGATGATGAAAATCACAATGCGATTGTCATATCACGCATGGTTTACCCATATCGAGTCAGAAATACCAGATAATGAAACTGCTGTTTCTCATGATATCCTAAGAGGAAATGAGGCTGCAATCATTGAGCAAAATGATGGGCATTAATGGGAATCTAACATGCAAGCTGGTGTTCCCCTGGGAGTATTCGGCCCCGTATTAGGCATCAAGTTATCTCTTAGACTGTTAGCATTGTCATTTGTCAGTCACATTCACTATCATTCTCTCAAACTACTTTATCAGTGGTCATTTTACTAAGGACATAATTTTTGTTGTTTGCCAATATTCAACATGAATAAATTTTCCTAAATCGTTGAAATATTCAACACTAATTGTACTTATATTATTATCACTTTTCACCATTTGTAATATCATCTTTTATGCAGTATATTACTATATACACTGTAGTCTCTCCCTGCAGTCATTTAAAGGGACAATTAGATGTACATTGTCTAAAGGAAATGTTGTAACACATCTATTAGTGGAACACTTTTCAGAGTCCCAAAACCGACTGACTTAATGTTGAATGAACCTCTATAAGTGGAACACCCCCAAATGGAACACTTTTAGAAGTACCAAAGGTGTTCCACTTAGACAGGTTTTACTGTAATTCAAATGTCATTACTCAATGATAGTCTATGTATTTATAGACAGTATGTCAGAAAGATTATTATATCACCACCGTTAGTTGTGTCATATTGTAATAGTCTCCAACCTTTTTGTGGATGGCTGTCCGTGATTGGTGTTTTTTGTGGTCAGCTTCTGTAACAAATGACAGGTTGTGATATTTTACATGTTAATGCCTTGTTTTAATATTTGATTTAAAAATTTGTTCTTGCAGATTTGGCAACATTTGATGGTGCTGAGAGCCGTGTGAGTACATTAGTTGCTGCTGCAAATAGTCATGACAACCTGTGTCGAATGGACCCTGCTTGGCATCCTTGGTTGTAAGAGACAGTTGGCTTGACAACTTGTGTCAAGTTGACCCTGTGTGGCATCTTTGGTTGTTGAAGAGACAGTTACCATGGTAACCTATGTCAAATTGACCTGGTGTGGTGTCTTTGGTTGAAAGAGGCAGCAGTCATGACAACCTGCATCAAGTGGACCCTACGTGGGTTAAAGGAGAGACAGTACTCATGACAACCTGGATAGAAAGGACCCTACTTTTCTAAGTTAGGGTGAGACAATTGTCATGATAACCAATGTCAATTTGACCCTGTGTGACATCTTTGATTTTAGGAGAGACAGTTGTCATGACAACCAATGTCAATTTGACCCTGTGTGACATCTTTGATTTTAGGAGAGACAGTTGTCATGACAACCAATGTCAAATTGACTCTGTGTGGTATCCTTGGTTCTAGGAGATACAGGAGTAGTCATGACAACCTGTGTCAAATTGGTTGTAAAAACAATACCCTAGTCATCATAACACACCTAGTAATGCTGTCATGATGGCAGTGATCATATAACCAATTGCATCAATGCTAGGGGTATAGGAAACCCTATTTGAGAAATGAATTTATTGTAAGAGAAGTAACGTAAAGACATTCTTAAGGAAATGTATATGCAATTAATTCATCCAGTAGGTCTGGTACATGTAAAAAGAATTAAGTCATCGACAGTATGAATACGGGTGAATGCCACATAAACACTAATACTCAAAAGAAAACTTTCTCTTAAATGTCATTTATTTTGTATTTGATTGTGATACTTAAGCATGTTTTACAGATGGCTGTCTTTTGAAGTATATGGAATCAATGTAGTTTGAATAACTATTATTATTATGATCTATAGCAGTACCTTTGATACCTGATATTGTAATATACAGGTACATTATATTTAGAATTTTCAGAATTGGATAAAATTGAGTCATTGAAGTTACAAAGTGGATCAATTTGTCCTTATTTTTCAAGGGTAATTATACGCTTAACCCCCCCCCCCCCCCCCCTGCCCTGGTGACTACAATAGGTTTTTACCCAGACTTGTATGGATGTCATCCGGAGGATGTCATGACATCCTTGTTATATCACAATAAATGAATCCTTTTCTATTCACCCCCATACACTATCACAAGTTGAGAAGTGATGACATCTGCAGGGCACTTTAACCACACTCTTATAGACAGCAAATCTGCTTAGTAAATTCTAAGAGCTAAGAGAGTGAATTAAAGTGGCAGTTTATACAATGGACTCTTTCTCTCACTTTGTCATCAATTTGTTTGTTGGTAAAGCAGAGTTTTTAGAGTGGCTGTCACTCTTTTTGGCCAGGGTTTATCTCTGTCATAAGCTGATCATGATCTCTATCTCTGGAATTAGTATTTGCAAACTTTGGAATGTGAGGGAGCTACTGTGTAGAATAACTCGAGCATTTAAAATTTAATCAAAATGGAATGTGTTCGATGTTAATCCATTTACTATGTCAACACCTCAAGTGGTGGCTTATTGTTATTGCCTCCAAGTTTTTGTGTATGGTGTTCAGTGGTTGGTGTTTGGTGGTTGGCATCTGTAACAAGTGACAGGTGGTGACATTTTGCATGTTAATGCCTTGTATTAATTAATGTGTGTGTCAGTGCTCACTATAAACTATGATATATGGACATTGTTAGGTAAGCATGGTACATGTACAATATGTGTAGTTGTATTGTATAAATACAGTATGTACACATGTATTTTGTGTAATTGTAATGTACTTATACTGTAGAAGTACTTTGCTATGATCAACATGCCGTGAAATGTGTTCTTTGCTGAAAATTGATATGCTAGATAGTTTCTTAAATGTTTAGTAGGTTTTTGAACACTATGTTTATTTTAATAACAAGATTTTCAAATACATGTTCCATGTACATTATCATGTGCTAAATTGCAATTTGGCATTGCTTTCAACAACAGAAAACAAAGATAAAGATATAAAATTTATTCCATACTTAGTAGTGTTATAGGTAAATAACATGCGGGAATATAATTGATATGTGACGTGAGCGGGTGATATATATACCACGCGCTGATATCACCCACTCATCAGATCTACGACATCATTCAGGAAATAGATACTGAGCCAGGGGAGTTGGCTATTATTCCTCATAATCTAATAAGTATAGAATAAATCAGTTATTAAATGCTTGATTTTTGATATAGTGTATATCCCTCGATAAATACATTATATCAACCCTCGGTCCCGTAGATATATTGTATTTCCCTCAGATATACCCTGTATCAAAAACCTCCCATTAAATAACCTCTATTTATCCAATGTTTAATATTGGTATGTTAAGTTAAAATGTACTGAAGGAATGTTTAGTAAGAATATCTGCATGTCTGTTCAGAAGTTTGTATGATCATACCAATGTTGTTATTATTATTTGAATGTGGTTTAAATTGTAAAACCGTAAATTATTTTTCAATGGAATAATTAGATGCAGTGTTTTTATTGAATTGAAAATAGTGTAAAAATGTACAAAGAATTAGTTTTTGTAAGAAAATATGAAATAAAATGATATATATGTAAAATATAACTGCGATATTGTAAATATTCTTGTATTTATACAAATAGGGATCATATTATTCTAGTTTCTAAATGAAAAAAATTGGCTCGTTTTGTGAACATTTTACAATTTTGCTGGATCCTACAGATAGATGGCCATCATTACAAAATGAATTGTCTTGTAAGACTAAAATTAATTTGGATTTCCCAAAGAAGTTAAGTGACTTATATTACAAGAATGTTAATTTCAATGTTACACAAATGATAAAATACTATAATTTACTGAAAACTGAGGTATATGCTTGAATGTGCATTCTATAGGAACTTTAGAAGACAGATAAATGGCTCACCAAAAAAAGACCCGCTGGTAATTTTCTATTCCCTATTGTTTTAGAAGCATTTAAGAAAGATATTTTTGTATCCTCAGTTGACCAGAAAACATGAATATGAATGAAACCTTGGCAACAGCTTAATTTTTGCATTTTTGCTTATCGCATGAGGGTAATTAGTAAACAAGAGATGCCATTAGAAACCAGAATATTCTTTTTTCGCTTCTGTTATTGTGCCTTTGTTCCGTAGTGGTTCATTATGGCGTTAATGTTTGCATATTAATTTTGTAATGAACAATAATATTGGATATGCGCTTTTATAGTAATACATTCAGTATCATATTTTAAGAGATGCTTTCAGTTTAGATATGAGAGCAGATTTAATACAGACAGTATAAAACATCTGATTTAATTCATGTGATGATGACAATTTTTGCTTCGAAACCCACAAATGGGGGTTCTGGAATTTCACCCTATATTTTGAAACTCTACAGGCTTTATTTAAGGGAGATTCTATCTTTAATTTATAGACCTTTTAGATATGAATAAAGTAAATCATTTTTATTTTAGTTTTTTTTAATAAAAACATAGAATTAAATCCTGTGCTGAGGGGTGAAATTTGTACAGTTCTGTGATTGTTGGAAGAATATCGTGTCATTGTTGCTTATTATCTTTAGACAGATCCAAACTAATAAGATAAAAACTGCAAAGGGGAGAAAATGCAAAACGAAATATAAACAAGTCTTGCAAGTTTAATGAATGAAAAACTTTTCCAAAAATCAAATACTTTGCTACAAAGGATTCGCTGAGCCGGTATTATTGGCTGAACCTTTGAAATCCAAATCCATCGTCTATTGACTATTGATCTATAATATTGTCTGAAGATAGGAAAAGGCGTAAAGCTGATTTTATTGGGCATTTGGGGTTCCTTTGCTGGATGATTTCGGAGCTTTTTATCATTCTGGTGAAGCGGCAGGATCCTGAAGTGAGATAATAGTGATTACTTGCCCCCATGGTGCCCTAACTTCAAATGTCATAATGTCATGATTCAGCATCCCGGATCTAATAGCCCGTGAAAAAATCCCACAATGTCTCAGTGCAAAAACTTTTTATGTATGTCTGATATTATTGATATTTTGAAATTAAGTTCAATACCAAAGTAATATAGGCTAGTATTACAGTAAGATATACATGATTGGTTTTTTTAACAAGGTCCTGCCAAATTGCTGTAAAACTGGTATTAAATCTTTTAACAACTTCTTAACTACAGTACGAAAGGTCATTATGTGTTAAAATTGCTCGTGTTGTTTGAATCATAGGCATCATATCGTGAGGTAAATATCATTGCTCATTTAGAAATTGAAAGCTATGTATCACGGGATACCTCGTGACAATATATTCAATTTACCAAACCACTTTAAAAATGTAATCCCAAGAATCTGAAGTTGTTGTTAAGATCCAAAAGCAAAAGAATGCAATTTTTTAGAATCCTCCCACGAGAATTTGGATGTTCATAAACTATTGGGAAATAATCTATAATTATGGCCCGAGGATATAACAAAGATTTCAGCGTTGAATTATGTTTTAATCTCGGATCTGTAAGCCAATATTTCTGAATTTCATAGATAGTTTGATTTAATTAAGATATGAACTTGTAGCTTGAAGGATTGGGGAAAATCACTTTACTTAAATCCAACTGGTCTGGAAACAGTAGATAAGGTTTCTATATTCTGAGTAATTGCTTTCAATGTTTGTATCATACACTACCCATCAAAACCTTGGAAACCATGATTCTACCATGATGAGACTTTGATAGTCATTTTACAAATTCTCTATTGCATATTAACATGCTATGATTGTTCCATTGTACACTTCCTCAAAAGGTTTAGAAACCCTGTATAATGCATTTCCCTTAATAAGTTGGAAACCTACAAGTTTTCAAGTTTTTTTTATTCAGTATTCACATTAAGTGAAATTCAGACTATGCTTATATTATACACCCCCCCCCCCCAAAAAAAAAGGCTCGGAAAGCTTTCACCATTATTCCAAACTGCTTATGACTATACCCACGAAATCCCCTCGAAACGCTACATCTTTAACATAATGAAATTTTGTAAATTGTCTGGATACTCAAGTTATGGTACCATTTACAACATCTTTATGTGATACAAATTTAGTTCTAGCTCTCTGGAGGTAGGAATACTAGTGTCAGAGAACAAAGACATTTTATTGGAATCTTCAAACAAAATTAAAAATAGACAAATACTCATATTTATGGTGTCATGGTATCCTTCATAAGTTATTGTCATAATAACAACAGTATTTTACAGTATGGCACGCAGAATTGACATGAATCAGAACTGATTTATATTAACAACTTATAATAAAACAAACGGCAATTATATCCATGAGAGTTAATATAGTGCTGTTACCCTGACTCCTCCAATGTTAAATACAGTAAAACCTGTCTAAGTCGAGCACTTTTGGTACCTCTAAAAGTGTTCCACTTAGGAGGTGTTCCACTTATTGAGGTTCTTTCAACATTAAGCCAGATGGTCTTGGGACTCTGCAGTGTTCCACTAACAGAGGTGTTCCACTTTTAGAGGTGTTCTACTTTATAGGTTTCACTGTACATTGCATATTTCCATGTTGTATCTTGTGTCTACCCAGCCCACCTTTATGTCTCACCTTACCTTGTGTAGGTGTGTTAGGAACACCTGCTATAAATTGATTTGTTTTATCTTTACAAAATTACTGAAATTTTGTTTTTTAATCAGCATGCTGCTCAAAGATTGTGTCTTTGTATTCAGTTGACTCAAAGATTGTGTTTTGGGATTCAGATGACTCGAACATTGCATTTTTGTTTTCAGTTGACTCAAAGATTGTGTTATTGAATTCAGATGACTCAAACATTGCGTTTTTGTATTCAGTTGACTCAAAGATTGTGTTTTTGGATTCAGATGACTCAAACATTGCGTTTTTGTATTCAAATAACACAAAGATTGGTGTTTTTGGATTCAGATGACTCAAACATTGCGTTTTTGTATTCAAATAACTCGAAGATTGTGTTTTTGGATTCAGATGACTTAAAGATTGTGTTTTTGGATTCAGATGACTCAAAGATTGTGTTTTTGGATTCAGATCAGATGACTCAAAAATTGTGTTTTTGTTATTAAGATGACATAAATATTGTTTTTGTAGTCAGATTGTCTCAAAGAATGTGTTTTGTCATTCAAAAATTTTATTTTTATCAATGCCTAAAAGACTTTGTTTTCTTAATCAGATGACTCGAAGAATGTGTTTTCTCAGTTAGATAACTTAAAATTGTGTTTTGTATCTAAAATATTGTGTTTTCTCAAATGGATGTCTCAAAGGTTGTTTTCTCAGTCAGCTCTCTCAAAGATTGTACATTTGTATTAAGATGTCTCAAAGATTGTGTTTTGTCATTTAGATGTCTCAAAACATTTTCTGTCAGCCGTCTCAAAGATTGTATTTTTACTACATGTATATGAAACTTTATTTTTAATCAGATATTCAGAAAATCATATATAAATCATCCTTAAAATCAACTTATTCTGTCAACTAGACACCTTTATACATATGTATTTTCTAAATATAAATCATTGTTTTCTACAACAGACAATGGTCTCAGCTTATCTCGGTCAGATATCTTTAATAGAATATAGTTTATCACATGCTCTGTAAAATTCCAGTAATCTGATTGGTTGATTACCGTGTGAGTTTTCCCGTCTCACACGGCCGTCTCACACGTTACTAGAGGCAACCAGTGATGATCAATAGCAACTATGTGACGTCACTGATTATATCACTTCTAGCTAAGGAAAACAATATGACGTCATACTATTTCACAAACAAGTACGAATACAACGATATGACGACGTCACATTGTTTCAAAGCGAAATCAAAAATTATAATAGTTACTAGAAGTACACATACTCTACCAGTCATAACTGACCAAATCAAAATGCTTCAAAATTCCTAGACATGTGATAAAATCGTCATCACACGTTTCAGCTTATGTGATACAGGAAATATTCCACTCGGGTAACAATGTATCACCACTCAAGCTTCGCTTTCGTGGATGATACAGTATTACCTTTCGTGGAATATTTCCTGTATCACATGCTGAAACGTGTGATAACTGATATTATCTCAATTATTCTCCAGACAGTAAATCAGATATACCGGTTTATGAGATAATGTCAACTTGACTTAATCATCTCTATGATTATGTTTGCTAAGGCAGAATCCTTAGGGATTGATGTGATTTTTTTAATTCAATACCCCTGATTGCAAGCCCTGAGCAATCTCACCATATAATCAGGTATCGATATCATTTGACCGCGACCCAATTGCATATCACTATAACTCATCAAACATTAAAAGATTTTAACATTGTGGGGTTGTAAGTTTCCATAAAAATAGTTTCCGCCAAAAAATTGATATCCTTACCCAGCCATTTGTCAACTCAAATCAAATCAACTTTTTTAAGAGATTAAATTATGTTTAAAATTTAATTTCCGAATGACTCATCAAGAGCTCTTACTTTGAGATTTCCCTTCATTGACTTAATCAACGACATAGATTTTTATATTTAATTGCATTTCTGCAACATGTTCTATTTTCTCTCGATGAAATATGTTAACGAACAGGAGTAATCTCCTTAATGTGTGTTCTATTAAGACTAATAGATTTTTAAGTGCAATCATGAAACAAACATGAATACAGGTCTCAATACTGATTAATAACATCGTTTATTTCTTTTTTTCTATTCTTTATACACCTTGGAAATTGTATCTAATCGTAAAATAGCGCCTCTCTACTAGAATGTACAATTATTTACAAGTTACAAAACATTTAAGACAATGTAGCGTATTATATTTATGGCTGGCATTCTGATATTCATAACGCTTTTTTGTGTCACCTGAAACATCTCACGACTGAGGAGAAATGAGACGCTATGGTTTATCATCATGATGCCAGGTGATTTTGTTAATTTTGCATCAGAGTTCGCTGATTCTCCCTTAAGTAAAATTTGTTATAGTTAACACATTTTTAAGTAGAGCCGGCTACCCTGTTTAAGGAATGGCCTGATATGACATTAATTTATTGTTTAAATGATATCAAATAGTAGATATGAAATATTGATAAAATCCTGTACATTCCTATTATATTGAACATTGCATACATTGATAAAATATCACTGCTCAAAGAAGCAATTTCAGCAATAGATTTCTTGACTTCACATTACCCTATATCTAATATTTCCCATAATTTATTTTACACTTATAGGCCTTTCTCATTTCTTGAGATTTCAAATGTATTTTTTGCAATTTCTATGTTCAACAATGATATGCAGTTCTAACTGGAATCCACTACTGTCTTTTATCGCATACTTTCATCCTAAATCATACAGTTAAATATTATTTGTGCGTTAGATAAATTATCCGGTCCTTTAAACAGAATATAACTCTGTGTTTCATTTTTAATGGCCCACCCTGTAGTTAATAGAGAATACATAATTGTTTTAATATAGAGCACATATCTTGGGCACATGTACATGAACATATTTTTGGGAATATACAATTGGATAAAAATGATATCTCTTATAAATAAGATATCATAATTTAGTTACAATCAGATATGAATATGTCTAAGAAAGTACAAAATTACAAATACAATTTATTGCTATTTCAGTATGGCTTTATATAAGAAATAATTTGTTCTCTCGAAAAGTCAAAAATAGCATTTTTACTTTCTAGTATTTGCTTAAGAGCATTATATTGAAAACATAGATCAAATTACATAAGCCTCAATGATGTCAGCACTTAATGACATCAACGAGATTGACGTTGAACTTGTACGTCCAAAGAGCTACAACGAAATGGAGATGTCATTAGTTTGGAAACATACCAATGAGATATCGAACAATGCTTACAATTTGCGACAAATTGGAAAATCAAGTTTCGGCCACTAAGGAATTGAATTTAAGAAGGCTTCTATTTGTATATCAACTTTACTCCCCAAGAACTAGCTTGCGAATAGAGTTAGCTGTCGGGAAAAGAAAATTGACATGGCATCAATATGAGATACTTAACAAGAAAAATCAAAAGAGATTAATTGGTTTCGTTTGATATGAAAATTACATTCTTGATAAGAAATAAAGAATAGATTCATTTATTTTCTGACTCATTGAAGTTATAAGATTGGTCGTATAAAAATCCAAGGGACTGATTTATGTATTAATCTTGCGGCTTTTATACTGAAAGTTTTTATGATACATTAATATAGTTTGATCTTATATAAGCGGAGGCTTAGGCATTCAGAACTGACAGATAATCTTATCTTTAATAACAGTTAATAAGAACATGCTACAATACATATCCCGGAGATATGTCTGAACAATTTCGGATTTCTTTATCCAAGTATAATACTGCTCTCTAATAACATTGTAACATGAAAAAGATGTGAACACGTCCAATTACTGACTCATTGATAGAAATGTATTATTGCCTTTATTCTCTATTGTATCTTTATTTTCATACAGCAAAACCTGGCTTAGTGGAACACTTTTGGCCGTGTTGTACTTCTAAAAACTGTTTCACTTGGGAGGTGTTCCATTTACAGAGGTTCATTTAACATTAAGTCAGTTGGTCTTGGGACTCTGAAAAGTGTTCCACTTAAAGAGCTGTTCCACTTAACAGGTTTCACTGTACAATACTGTATATCCAGGTTTTTGCTTTTTGTGTGAAGAGATTTTCAAAAGGTGGATGGATTTCATCTTTGCATCCTTAATGTTTACACACATCAGAAAAACTTTATACTTCTATCTATCTAGTATTTACACTTGTTCATAATTTTCCCATGCAGTAAATTCTCCTTCTCCAATTTTTTTGAGAGGGAAATGAACCCCACTACCTGACTAATGGGTCCATTTTTGGTCCAATTGTAACCTACCATTCCAAGCTAACTATTATCTCGTTAGACTAAGTTACAACGGTTCCAAAATCTGACCCTCTTGTCCCAATAACTGTCACACATTTTCAATGGTACATTTTTTGTCCTTAGTACCTGCTTGATTTAGAATATCGAGCCTGCTGGTCTGACCGCTTTATTTGGACTCTAGCTGGAACAGGTGTTAGAAGACGTTTGGATACGATTCTGGCCGATGAAGGGATATCTTTTGTTCGACCTGTCGTCTGATTCATTACTGCATTATGGGTAATAATGGGTGATTTTGGTTGTGATTTAGTAGGTGTAGACACCTTATCCTTCTTCAAATCTTTTGACGGCATAAAAAAGTCATCTATTGAGCTAAATTCTGTCACTTCATTCTCTTGATCACTCTCAAAGGGTTCTTTGCGACGTATAAGTTTATAAATTGGTGCCCTGCAGAGCACGCAACGTAAAGGGATGCTGCGCTGTTTGATAGCTTGCTGCATGGTTTTGATAAAGCATCTCCGACAAACTGCCTCGTGACCACAGGGCATCGTTTTCATGGTCGGCGTACCAGTCAGGCATATTGCACACTGGAATACACAAAATACAATTTTTATCAACATATCTAGATTGAGAAGAAACCTGACAAAAAATTCAACATGCAAAATGAGAGTTTCAACTTTCAGGTATCCTTTGTCAGAAATATTTCTCATGAGGATAACCATTCAAATATAGTCACAAAAATGAAACAATATACTGTACATGTATATTTAAATTTTCATTAAAATGATATTTGACAATCATCTCAAGAGCTCAAAACTTGCCAAGTGTGGTTGATAATGCAGGATTGGAATTATCTATAGCATCCAGGGTTGACAATAATGATTCATGATTTCAAATCCTATTCTTTCATTTGGATTAGTTATCTCATCAAATATACCCTTGACAGAAATGATGCATTTATGATCGTGTATTAGCAGTTATATCATTATATAATTTTGATGAATTATTTTTGATAGATATAATCTAGTATAATTCTGTAATCTAGTATAGTTTTTTCACAAAACATTGGCCTTCTGAAATATTTTGTGAAAATGACGAAACTATTCACATATATCGATGATCAAAAATTTTTTCTCTGCAAATAAACACACTTATAACCTGACCAATGGTAATCTGTACATTTAATGATATTGTACAGTTTCTATCAATTTACATCACTTCAATTTCACATTTAATTTGAAAATGTCAGAAAATGATATTGAAATGTCTTGATGAATGGCAAGATTAAGAAAATGATAGACTTGCTGTAATGGACTTCCCATTTTAAGCATTTGCTCATGGAATTAGATTCCTTTTTTTCAAATTGCCAATCATTCGTGTCATCAGTTTCTCTCAGTACCAATTTGTCAGTTAAAGCATGTTTTAGCTGGGATGGAGAAAAGAATATGTAGGGGCAAATTCCATCAGTATTGTTGTAAGCCACGCCTTTTCTATTTCTGTCCTTCTGGACATCAACAATGCGACAAAGATGCTATGATTGAGTTCCAGAATGCGCCATTAAGGTAAATACAAAAGTATGTATAACAAGGCAAAATGTCACTACCTGCCATTTGTTACAGATGCCATTTGTTATAAAAGCTGACCATCAAACGCTGAACACCAAATTACCGTTCACAAGTTGGAGACTATATAACAATATGTTACCTCTTGTGGAGGTAACATAAAAACACAGATCAAAAGGACAAATAATTGCTTATTCAGAGTAAAAACTCTGTCTCTGCAATGTATGACTTTCTTTTTGATACAGTGGAAATTTGAAATATCTTAGGTAGTCTTGTATAAAGTCAATGAATCATGAAAAATGTTTATTTTTTATTTCAAAATTACTTCCACTAAAAGTATGATATAAAAGGCACATAATATTCTATGACATATCAATTTCTTCCTTGATTTCCTCACAAACGATCATTTCCACTACGATTGTAGGAAACACCATTAACCATATGCGTATATCTGTTCCCTAAAGTGCACCAATGCGTGTATTTCTGGCCAGTAAGTTATGAGGAAAATAATGAAATTGACAAAGTGTAACTCTAATATGCTACATTGTGCGATGTGTCAAACTCAATATTACACGCAACAATCAAATATGTTCATTCATCCATGAAAGTAATTTTGGTGTCAATTCTAATTTTTCCATTTTTGTAGGAAATGTGTTTTGTTGAATTGCGCTATGGTATGACCGCCTGAGAGCGGTAAATTTCCATTAAGTAAATCGAAATCTACTGGGATTTGACCCAATTTGAAATTGTTTTGATTACCATATATTCACATACTAGAGTCCATTTCACTGCTTCAGTTCGTCAGTAGAACGGCAAAAATAAGAAATTGGGAGACTATTGTGCAATAATATATGGAAAAGTATATTCATAATGTACATGAATGACATTTGTATATTTCAGATTTTTTAGTTTTTTGTGCAATAAGCCTGTGCCGTCTTGTAATTTGAAGAATTTCAGCCATGTTAATCTTATTGGAAATAACATGGCAGAGAAACATCCAAATATAAGAGGCCACACACTTTATAAGCCAAACTAGAAGCAATCCAAGATATACAAATGTCATTCATGTACATTATGAATATACTTTTCCATATATTATTGCACAATGGTCTCCCAATTTCTTATTTTTGCCGTTCTACTGACGAACTGAAGCAGTGAAATGGACTCTAGTTTTCATTCTTTTTAACACAAGAGTCAATAGAAGGAGGTGTTAATATTGAGAGTTGTTCAGATTTATCCAGTGATTGAATTAGAGAGGTGATCAAATCTGAGTGCGGTTATCATTGAATAATACTATTTGAGTTAATGTTTTGCCACTGATTGAACGGCTGAAAACTTATATTCTCCCTACAAATTAACAAAGGAATAAAATGGTAAACAAAGCTTGTAGATAAACTGGTAATTACTGTCACATAAATCGGTGTTAAATTAACCCTTTCAGAGCTATTGCACATTGAGAGATACATATGGGAGATAATCACTATTGTTAGGTATACACTTTACCTTGATAATCTCAGCTATACTACGATTAACACAATTTCTCAATACATCCTATGTAATACTACTTACCCACTGATAAGCTACTGTAGATATTTTATTAAATAATGGTATTTAAGGTGATCCATTCTCCCATAACATAAGTTTGTTTAGTATACCTGCTTTGCCTCTGCTGTTGACAGATAACTATGCGGGTCTCAACAAAAAAAAGTTCCTTAATTTATTTTATAAGTAAAAGTGAATTTCATTTGATGGAGGAAAATAGCAAATTACATTTCCATAAACTGTAAGTTGCTTTAATTTGGGACTAGCCTATCTAATTTGGCGGATTTGGCAAATTTTGGAATTTTTGGCGGATTGACTCATCAGTAAAATATGAACATTAGAAGGCTAGCTGGGACATCACATGGCCAGGTTACTCATGGGTGACATAGGGAGGTTTTATCTTCATATATGAGCTAATATATAGCAACAAAAATGGGGTTACAAAGAATTCTCAATGAGACCTAGGGTCCAAGGATTTTTTCCAAAAATTGGCGGAGACTTAATTTGGCAGTTTTTAATGCACCAAATCAGCCAAATTAAAAAGGCCATCAATTTAAAAAAATTTACAGTACCCATTCATTTTTAACTTTTAGGTGACATTGACCTACTATATATATGTGACAAAATCATAATAATGTACGAAACCTGCTGAAAGATGGCAGCATAGTTCTGTATTAAAATTTATATTCAATAAAAATGATTGATTTATTCCATTAAAAATCTCAGAAAATATTGATTTGATAACCAAGAACAAGTTGACATTGAATCTTCATAATAACACAATTAGGAAATTATCCTTAGTTTGATAAAACAAAAAGAAATATTTGAATATTCAATTAAATGGGTTTCCAGCAGCCTGTGATTTGTCATCTGGGTTTTATTTTAAATAACATCTTTGATAAGAAGGGAGGATGTGAAATAATGTTTCTTTGTGTGTTTGAAATATTGAGGGTTTGCTTTCTTTACCAATGATTCATTTATTTTCTTGTTTTGTACTCTATAGCTTTCCCTTTTGCATCTTGTGCATGGTTCAGTATTATCCCTTTACATGTGACCTTGACCTCAATTAGACTAAAATCAAGCCTCTGCAAAAATTTTGCCACTTTAAAGATTTTTAATTCTGTCCATAAATAAGCCTTAAAATAACTTTGAACTTCAGCTGAATTTGGTAAACACATTTTTGTATTCAAAGCAAGTTTCCGTCAATGCATCACAAGCCTTAGGAAGAACGGAAATGCATTGGTTTTATTCAAATTCCATAAACATGAGCCTTCACTTAACCTCTTGACTACCTGGAGTGACTAGATTTCTCGTCACCTCAGAAATGACCTTGAAACCCAGAGTGACGAGAAAATCTGTCACAAAATTGTTCACTAAAATTGCTTTTATTTGAACAATTTTCATCCAATTTACACAAAAATTGTTTTAAAACATGTCGAAATGATCCCTGCCATCTAATTTTACGAAGTTGAGCATCTAAAGTTGTATAGGTATATAGTAAAATGTCAAAAGGTAGCAAAAATGAAAAATTCTCTGGTTTCAACTGATTTTAGAGCCTGGGATTGAAGAGGTTAAGTTCCAAAATACAGTAGAATCTGTCAATTAAAAGTTCTCTATAATGGAACACCTTTGTAAGTTGAACACTTTCACGATCCAGTGGCCCATTGACTTATGTTACTCCATAAGTAGAACACCTCCGGAGAACTTTTTCAGGGAAACTGTACTGTAAAAGGGCCTCTAAATACTCAAATTGATCATGAGCAAATCTAAAGCTTCACAATGAAATAAGACAAGAAGCAATATGAATGAAAAAAATCTCTTCTGAGAAAGAGATATATTGTTATTATGTATTGCAATGATTTATGCCTCGATTTCAGTTTGATATTAGATTTATTGATATAACAATTTCCTTCAGCAATTTCTGGTATTTCCTCATCGAAAGGTCAATGCAATAAATACAATTAAAACGGCTCAGAGGTGAAAAGCTTTATATAAATCAGTATCCGATATCAATATGTGATACCATTTGCAAATTATAACTGGATAAACATATGTAGAAGAATAACACTGTATTCCCTGGGAAATACAATCAATAGAATTGATGTTTTAAAATTCTTATATTGTATTATGGTAGCTTACATTATATTCTATTGACATTAATACATTCTTTTTTAACAATTGACATTAATAAAGTCTTCTTTAGGAATACTCACTTTAGATTTTGCACTTATATCTCTTTGCAGTGAGATGTAGATTTGGGGTGGGGGTCAAGAGTTTTTAATTTAACAACTTGTGTTTGGTGCAAGTATGTAACAAGGCATTAACATGCATAATGTCACCACCTGCCATTAGTAACAGAGGCCAGATGCTAAACACCAACCTTGAAAACGATTCAGAAAAAGATTGGAGATTATGACAATATGTCACCACTTGTGGTGGTAACATAAAAATACTTTTAATATTAAAACAAAAGCTTTACATAT